CACTGAGCCCTTTCCCTTCATCTGCATCATCACTGAACCTTTTTTGACAAGACAAGCACCTTGTCAGCMAGTAATGCCATTAACACCTCAGAAGCCTCCTTCCCTCAGAGCCTGCAAGCCCAGGGCTGTACTGAGGGAGCCTTGTTGCAAACAGGTTCCAGATTCCTCACCAGAGCGCTCTTCTGATTTTTGTTTACTGCTGCACAGCAAATGCCAAAATGTCCTGAGCCACCTCTGATGTCCTTGCCTGGTCCCTTAMCCACAGGATCCAGTGGGCCCTACTCAGTGGTTTGCTGTGAATTCCTGAGGATCTCCTGGGAGCCTTGGCTATTGAGGATGACATCAGTGTTCCCTTTATCCTTGCTGACAGGAGCAGAGTCACGGATGGGCTGTGCACCCGTGGGGCTGCTCTGCTCTCACCTCACCCAGCACAGCCACTGCAGCATCCACTGCCACAGCAGCTCCATGAGTCCTGAGGTGATTTCTGTCCTGAGGTGATTTCYGTCCTGAGCATCATCGACCTGAGCAGGACACCCAGTTTGGGATTTTCACAGGTCATATCTACCAAGGAACAGTACACCGATAAAGTCAAATCTTTTAACTGTGTTTGTTTTAAACTGGGTTTCTTTTAACTATGTTTATTTTAAAGACCCATTTACTTAAAGAAACAGTAACCACACCACGCTAGGGTGTTAATTTGCTACCAGTCCAAGCTTTTCCTCAGAAGCTGCCCAGGAACTGCTTTCCTTATCAGCTTAGAAGGGTATCCATCTTCTTAGAAAGGTAATCATCCTTCTTTTGGTTTCTCTTTTCAGCTACCCATTTGGGCTATCAAGTTAAAGCAGCCAATTCCAAGGCTATGTTTTCTGTGAAGCTGAACAGAGATTCTAATGAAAGAATATTTTGCCTCCCTTTCAGGCTCCCAGGAATCACAAACAAGACAGAAATCTGTCAAACGCCTCCCCCAGGACCTTTGGCTAGTCAGACCCACAGCTGGGTGAGTGCCTCTCATGGCCAATGATGCTTTGCTCTCCTTCCTCTGATGAAGCTGTAGCCTTTGCCAGTGGCTCATTTCCATCAGGAATTGTAATCTATGCACAGCTTTTCTGCTCATGAGTGTTCCATGGGAAACCCACTGACCAATGGCACCAGGATGCTCGGCACCTCTTCAGTCCATGCTGATTTCACAGAGCAGGGCCAGCCTTCCTTCTCTGGTCCAATATTTTTGCTTGCTTGTCACCCTTTGGGCTGTTTTCCCAGCAGGCTCTGGCTGCTGTCTTTTGAKTGTCTTCAAGCTTTTGCTCTTGTTCTTGTTTTAAATTCCTCCTGCAACTTTCTTCCTCCTGCAAACACTGATAATTCATTCTGTTGTGATTTTGCATAAATAAATATTTATGATTAGTCTCTTTAGAGACAAAATACATCCACCTGACATCTTTGCTGTCCATTTTGAAAATATTTAGGATTCCTGCAGGGAAAAAAACCCAAGCTCTGATAATGGGGTCAGATATTCCTTTTATAAAAAGACAGCTGTGATCCCAGCTCCCTCAGTGTCAGGAATCATCACTTTTTCCTGGATCATTTTCCTTCTGCTGTTTCTCTCACAAATGCACCATGCCCTCTCCCCAGAGCACCACAGTGGCTCCCAAGGTCCCTCTGTGCTCTCACAGTGCCAAGGCTGTCACCCCACACAGCTCCTCTTCCCAGCCCATCCCTACAGCTCCAACAGTGTCAGTCCACAAGAAAACTGAATTGTTTTCTGAAGCTCTTCCACTTGAGGTCTGGCTGCAAATATTACGCTTTCCTGACTCAGAGAGGATGAACCTTGTGTCCAGTGAGATACGATGTTCCTTTTCTTCAGGAAAATAATAAGGCAAAGGCAGGGAAAGAGTGAGGAATGCTGCCAATAGTACTCTGATATCCCATTGAGTTCTTTTAAACTGATCCACCATAATATTTCCAAATAATTATTAATCAATACTGATTGTAGGAGACAATTGAATGAAGGAATGCATTTGTGGCATGCATAAAAGGCAGAAGAATCACCAAGATGCAATTCTTTCTCTTTGGGTGCTCCTGGTAATTTAAATACTGTCCCAGAAACGTTAGGCCTGGATGAGCAGGATTGGGAAAGAGAAGGAATGAGGAGAAGAGGAAGAGAGTTTTTCTGGTACCTGAATTTGGAAGGTGGCTTCCTTCAGGCTGGTTCTTACAAGGTGCAGACYGGTTCATGTAGCCCTGCTAAAATGACTACAGAACCCATGCCTTCAACAGGTGAGTGCAGCAGTTTGGGAACCTCAGTAGGGCAGAGCTCTGAAAAATACATGTAAATGACACCACARACACGGGTGGTGTAAGGGTGGGGAATGGCAGGTTACCCTGAAAATATCCTGCTGTCTCCAGGGGCTCAGCTACCCATCCCTGGGGGTAATCCCTGCCCTGTGGGACCACAGCCACATACTTAAGTGTGTTTCAATATTTTTTGCCTGAAACACTTTCTCCAGAAATGATGCTTCAGCACCACAAGASTCAACCCTTTGGAGCTGACATGATGCTCAAAATACTTCTAGAAAGAAGGATGCACCCTTGCCTGAGGCTGATGGGACTCTCAGGTGTAGCTGGCAGCAAAACAAAGATCCAGATTATTCTTCTTTCCCGSATTATTCCACAAACACTTTTCCACCCTACAGGCTGTTTTCCCTTTGCTTTCTAGTTACTTCTTTGTGACCTGTCACAGGTGGCTTTTTATTTGCCACCTGTCGCTGTGCAAAGATATGTGGGGACAGAAATAAAAGAATTTTTAGGCCAGAAGTTTTCAGACACACCTGGAAGATACCCAAATGTTTTTACCCATCTGTAGGAAAGACAAGCCATTGCTTAAGAACATCCTCTCTGCCAAATGTGATTAGTTTCAGAATTTGAAAGTGCAATGCTGAAATTCATTCTTCAAATGTGAAATTGCATCCTGGTGCCAGATACAAATAGTTGACTCAGCTGACAGTCAGAGAACATTTGAGAAATCTCTAAAATAACTGAGAATGTAAGTGGAATTAATTCACCTGCAGTGTAAATGGAATTAATTCACCTTCTGTGCCCACTGTCAGATTTCTACCAGAAAAAACAGAACTTACTGCTTTTTTCTTAGAAGTTTCTTAAAATGTAGATGCAACCAAAGCACTAAAGGAATTCCTTATTTTATAATTATTAGTACCAAATAGCCCTGATTAGCAAGCAATAACGGCACATGGGTATGTCTCTTAATCCAGCCCTGTGGCTRTGGGATGATGACAGAACCTTTGGCCAACTGCTGTTTTTCCCATATATTATCAAGCCAACWTTGACAATACATTCATGGCAGGAGCCTCACTGAGAGCTTGCTGGGTCTAAAGGTGATTTCCAGCATTTTGSCCAGAAGAGCAGAGTGTGGGGCTTTGCCATGGAGCAGAGAGTGGGGGGGGGATCTGCCCAATGGGGTCTCTTGCAGATGAGTCCCCTGGACTTCACTGTGGGAAATGATCCCTTACAAAGAGCAGCCTCTGGCATGTTCCTCCATATTTGCCTCTTCTACTGTGGTTTCAACAGAGTTGACAAGACTTTCCTCTTCCTAGGGGCAGGTTATTTYTTGACCTGTTATTTCTTAAAAGCACACTTCAGATGTCTTTGGTAGACACACAAGTGTGTGCCACAAGAGAAGAAATGGAAACATGAAATTCTTGTTTGCCTACAAGATGGCTACAATGGCATCTACCAGTGTCAAATAAACATAATGTTCTCCAAAACAAGTTTTGGGGTCTGATGACTTGCATGGTATTGCAAAGCAGTTTGGAGTATATCAGAGAGAACTGGTGATTCCTGTACCTCAGCGCTAACGAACCCTAACATAATGGGAAAAGCACATCCCATTGAAAAGAAATGGTAACAAATGTAAAGGCTTTTTAGCATCTTAGAGAGCTTGAATGTAAACCATCTGGCTCTGTGGGTACAGCAGAGGGATTAGAGAGCAAGAAAGGCCATGTGCCTTTATGTCTATGGCTAAGGTTGATTTTATGTGCAAAAACTTAAACAATACACCCCTTTGATCACTGTGAAAGCTGTGGGTAGGATCAGCAGGTACAGCAGGCCTTGACCTACAAGTCTTGGTTGAACCATCTCAAATCTGATGCTGAAGGAACACAGGACATTAGTTAGAAGCATCTCTATTGATACAGAATAGCAGGCAGAAGGTGGGAGACAGTGACTTGCCATAAATTGCTGGAAGTTCCCCAAAGAAGATAAGGAGTCAGAGCTCTCGCCGGCTTTCCCCTTCCTTTGCACAGAACGTGACTAAAGGAAAGTCTTGATGCTGAAACTGTAAAATCTATTAAGAGGGATTTCCAGTGCCCTGGCTCAGCTGACAACTAATTTGTCTTTGCCTAGCAGGGATTTTCCATGCAGYGGACTCTTGTTTGCTATGTAAGTCATCCCAGTATTTGTTAGTGTCACAGCCGGAGCCAGATGATGTTTATTCTGCTAACATCCACTCGGACTCCGGCAGCGCTCATTGAGGTCAGGGCTTTATTTATAGCAGCAGATATACATCGAGATTCATTTTCTTCCCCTTGCTGTATTCTACCTAAACTCATCCAAAACAGAAAGAAACACGCAGACATGCAAGTAATACACTAATTGGGCCAGATCCACGCGTTAGCACAGCACCACAGAGGCCAATGGAAAAAAAGCATTTTTGAGCAGCTGAGGATCTTGTCCATTATTTCTCACGGGGAAGGGAAGGGAGGGGTTTAAAATCAGAAATTATAAAGCAAAAAGCAAAACTGACCAAGCAACAAAATGTCCTGGCATGTGGCAGAGCAGGTCTGCAATGCAAACTCCCTCCACCGAGATCTGCAGTTTGAAGTATTTATTTTTTTTTTTCCTCCGGTGTTCCCAATCACCTGAAAGTGCAAGAATCAAGAACGCAGAGAGCTCCAAGCGAGGAAAAGTAACGACTGAAAGCAATTTACCTGCTGAAATTGAGAAGGCATTGTCAGCGTACGCAGTCTGAGACAAAGCAAAGCAGAAGAGAAGCAGCAGGTAAGATCCCCGGGCCAGCGGGCTGAGGACCAACATGCTGGCTCTGCCCCGGCAGATTGCAGCTCAGAGGAGCAGCGCTGCTTTGGGGCTCTGTCTCGCCCCTCTCTCCCTCTCTGCCTTGCCTGCTCTCTGCCTCTGCCCTCGCTATGGGATGCGTGTGTGTGTCTGTGTGTGTACGTCTCCCTCTCTGTCTCCCCCCTCCCTCCCCGTGCCTTTAGGAAGAAGGAATGCCAACCATTTCCCATTAAATCTTCTCCTTACACTAGACACAGTTATATTTAACTCCTGGGCTGGATCAGTTGCCCCTATTGTGGATATTAGCTGCTAAAACTGAGGCWTGGGGGATTCTGGTTTTGCTAGCAGAAGCAAAAAGGCACTTTGGATAAATAATAATGATGAGCAGGAATGGGGAAAAATTAAGAACTGGACTATAAACAGAATCCTTCAGCACAGGCAACCAGACACTGGCGTCAAGATGGATAAAATCCCTGATTGATCATCTTCTACAGGTCACTAATTGCCTTAATGGAGAGATGAGCAGTGACCTAACATCTGCTTATCCCTGGTAGCTACGAGTGCTGCATTCATGTACAGAGTGCAGATCRAGGAGAGGGATGCCACAAAGGCTTCACGAACGGATAAACTCATAATTATTTAGGATTTAAGTGAAAATGACAGTATCACTAATAGTGCCAGACATTGTGGGATTGCACAGAACTCAATGATGAGGTGCAACAGGTGGAAAAAACAATACATGAGCCATGGTGGGGTGAGTGAAACGCTATCAGCTCCGGGGGTGGAGATGGCCARCACACTGCAGAGCACTGTGTGAAGAAAACAAACCTCCCACTCSCTGGAAAGCAGCCAGTGTCCTCATTACTTGTATGAAAGTTTGGTGTTTCTGTACCTTATTGCATCATGCAGGGTTTTGCAGATTAATTTGTGCCCTCTGAATAAGCAGCAGAGAGATCCTCTTCTCTGCCTGGAATCTGACAGTGGTTTCCACGAAAATCAGAGGTACATCCTTTGCTGTGAAAAACATCATGACTCTCTCCCAGATGGATATGGTTTTCTTTGCCTACTGTAATTGTCTGCCCCAAGAAAAAAATGAAAATATTTTGGATTAATTACAGAATTGATTTTTTTTTTCATTTGAGAAAAGTTCTTATTTGCAGAAATGATGACATGTCCCCCTGGGCATCAACTCCACCGAAAAGCAAAGTGAGATATTTCCACAATTCTGGTTAAACAGTCTTGGCTATTACTTTCAACACACTGCAAACACATTGACAATTTTTTTTCTAAATGTAGTGGCTAGGTAGGAACAATCACATCTGCCTTATATATTTTATCCTTAATGAACATGCTTAATATAACCATAATGCTTTCTGAAATCTCTTTCCAATACTGCAACATTGTGGATAACAGATTTTCTATTTTAATTTAATCTTCTTTATTCCACTGTCATTCACTTTTTAGTGTTTGGTTCTTTTTAGTAGAAGGAAGTAGTTTGGTCTCTCTCTTGTTTGACCRAAATAACCATGAATTAAATGAGTGCCATCAGTTTTCTTGGCATGCTACATCTCAGAGGGAAAGGAATAGCTCTTGGGAAGTTTATCATGACAAGCCCTAAGCATGTAAAATAAATGTCCAGGTGTCTGATTGTAAAGGAAAGCAGAGGGCAATCCCCATGCTGGAAGCCTGCATGGCTGCTGAAAAAAATTGCTCAAAAGTTAAAATGTCAAGATTGTATTAAAAGATTTGCCTCTGAAAAGATATGACCAACACAACTGTTAGTCAAAACAACAACTGGATAATTCAAAATTCTGCGGACACCTCCTGCAGTATTTCAGTGATTGAAAATTTGGTAGAAGTTCCCAGTACAAAATAAGTTCTATTTGATAAGGAAATAATTGATCCAATAACACTAGAAAAAAGCTAAGACCATGCAGTAGGATGCATATCTTTCCCCTCCTTCATCATTCCCTTACCAATTTCAGTTCTTCGTTCTTTAGAACAAAAACACATGTTTGGGTAAAAAAGCAATAACTTCTTGTTTGAAGAATAGTGCAAGGAATTCTATCATGAACCACACCCACCCTCTGATCAGCACTAAAGAAGAGAGGAATAAGGAATATACTTTTCCTCACAAGAGTGGATGCCTACGAGAAAGATGGAGAGAGACTTTCTACAAAAGCTTGTAGTGATAGGACAAGGAGGAATGATTTTAAACTCTATAGAGTAGATTTAGATTAGGTATTAGGAAGAAATTCTTCTCTGTAAGGGTGGTGAAGGACTGGAACTGAATGCCCAGGGAAGTTGTGGATGCCCCCCCGCCAATCCCTGGAAGTGTTCAAGGCCAGGTTGGATGGGTCTGGTGGGAAGTGTCCCTACYCACATCAGCATGGTTGGAACTAGATGATCTAAGGTCCATTCAACCCAAACCATTCTATGATTCTATGTCAAAAGGTAGCCAGAAGTGATCCATAAAGCCAGGGCGCTTCAGAATTAAGAAAAACACATAACGTTAGCTTTGCTGTCAGATCTTAAATAGAGACTTCTAAATCTGCTTATTGCAGTGGAGAACCCTGATTAAAAATGGAGCTTCTGTCAATGCTCTCCTTATTTTCAGCAGAGCATCTCCATCACTCTGAGCCTGTTGACCTGAAATGGCTCTCAGCCAATGCAAGAAGAAAGCACTGTGGGCTCTTCTGTGGAAAAACACACCATCTTCCACAAATAAACTTGAAAGGAGACATTTRGTCTTATGTTCATTTGAAGAGACCTTTTCTTCATTATATTGCTCCATTAACTCTTTGGGTTTTAGTGGAGAGCTCTCACAGCAGGGCWGTGAGCCAGGCCATGTTAGAGGGCAAATCCTGTGCTGCATTTCCTCTGATTCTGAGGTGTTTGCCTTTTCAACTGAGGCTGCTGATAGTGTCACTAATGGTTTCCCTGGGAGAAGAATAAAGTCCATTGGAAATAAAATGGACAATAGCTGCAGGCTTACTGCTTTGGACTTGTGCAGGTGACAGGASAGCAGACTGACATTCCCTGCTGACTGGTGCTCCAGGCTGGATGACAAGGCTGTACACCTGGTCACACAGCTTGTTTCTGACCTCCCTGGCATCGGTGCCTATGGCAGAGAGAATCCTGAGGAAGGGAAGTGTCATGTAGCAGAGGAAGTCTGGCATGAGAGACTTGACAAACATGTGCTTTGCAGGCCCTGAGCCCTGTGAACTTGCTCAGCCAAGTAAGGCATTTCTCCAGCTATTCCCTATTTTTTTTATTTATGGTAGATGCCACAGCAACTAAAAATGACAAAAGCCAACCARCACATAGTGAAAAAAATAGCCTTTACAGTTTGTCTGTTCAAGAAGTTGTTGCTTGACCTTTTCAGYCCAAACTTGAGATCTTAGAAGTGCATGGAGGAATCTTTTGGTGACACTACCATGCAAACAGAATTTAAAGCCTTTTTCTATGCAAGAATTAACAAACACTTGTTAAAAAGAAGGCTTCTTTCCAGCCCTACTCACTTTTGGTTGGCAGGCACTGCATCAACAAGATAAGGTAAAGTGGATATAGCTAAAATACTATCAATCTTGAATTCTTGCATGAACACCATTCTAGTTAGAAGGACAAAGATAATTATAGACTAGTTTGAGTCTAGATAGGTGATGTAGTTCAAACCCCTGCAAGAAGCTGGAACATTTCTGCTAGATCAGTTTGCTCAGAGTCCCACCCCACCTGAACTTGAATGTTTCCAGGGAGCAAGCATCCAGGGCACTGTTCCACAGTCTCACCACCCTCAGCACAAAAAACTTCTTCCTTTTATTGAGCCTAGATCTACCCTCTTTTAGTTTAAAACCATTCCCCCTCATYCTGTTGAGATCCTCAATATATAATTGAGACTTTCTAGTTCAAAAGTCTGAAAGCTCTTTTGCTGAGTGGGGCAAAGGTAAAACAGCAACCCGTGTTAATGCAGTAATTCAATAACAGCTTGTGTCTGCAAAGTAGTAGAGAAGAATCCTGTTAATTCAATTAGTGCAGGAGCTGGCAAAGAATCTTTATAATTACATTTTCCTTGTGAGAYAGTTATTTAGCAACAATTGTTTTTCACAATAAAAATACCTGTTYAATTTTGCACACTTGAATCAGTTATGTCTAACACTTAGATTTAGTAGCCTGACAGCACAGTTAATGTCACCTTGGAAGATGGTGTCATCTAAAGGACAAAGCCAGCTGCAGAAGCAAAATGACAATAATTGCAGAAAGCCAGTGAGTAGATTCACCATATCCTTGCTGGTGTATTTAAATTTAATTCAGAAGCCCATATAGAAACAGACCCACTAACTGTGCAATGAAGTAAATCCAACCACATTCACACATGGTGAAGTTCTGGCTTACCCCACAGCTCCATCCATGCCAGTCACCCAGCTGGCTACCAGGACACAGGGCAGGTGGCCAGCCAAAGGCAAGCCAGCACCAGTCAGTCTTCAGATTACCACCCAYTGCATGAACAGGGTGAAGGAGGACATTGATGGCAGGACACAGATGCCTAGCAATTTCCAAAAGCAACTCCTTTTTGCAAATTAGCCCTCAGTGGATGTTACACATTTCACAACAAGCAGGGGCCTTCTGGCCACCTCTTTAATCTATGCTCACAGAAGGCAAAACTGACTAGGGAAGCTGATTTATTTGTGCACTYTTCAGAGCATATTTGTTTACAGAGCAGCCCAGCTCTCATCCCGTGTTTAAAAAGTTCATATTGAAACTTTAACATTGCACTTATAGACTTAATTCAAAGGCTCAGTCCTTCATTTGGTTTTGTTTTTCACTCCATGCATACATTTCTTTTTCTATAGAAGACTATAGRACAAAAGAGTTAAGGACATGATTAAAGATTATAGGGTAATTCAAAGTGACTTCTACCAAAGCTGCCAGAACCATCCCACTCATGGCTTTGTGATGTTGGAGGGCGCAACTAAGTAGAACAACTTTAAAACAATAATTCATGTGCTGACTTTTACAACAGC